CCGCCTTCGATGCCCCTCGCTGCCCGTGCTGGTTCCGCGGTCGCCTTCGCTCGCTGCCCTTCGTGGCCCCGTTACTGCCCTCAGTGGCCCCGTCGCCTCTTTTTGTGGCCCCCGCTCGCACGCGCCCGTCGTGGCCCCATACGCATGCCCTTCGTAGCCTCGCTGTCGCCTTTCGTGGTCCCCTCGCTACCCTTTGTGGCCCCTTTGCTGCCCTCAGTGGCCCCACTGTCGCCCTTTGTGGCCCCGTATACGAATGCCCTTCGTGGCCCCCGCTCGCTCCCGTCGTGGCCCCATATGCATGCCCTTCGTGGCCCCACTGTCGCCCTTTGTGCCCTCTCGCTGCCCTTCGTGGCCCTGGTGCTGCCCTCAGCGGCCCCGTCGCTGCCCTCTGGCCTCGGATTTTATGCCCTTCGTGACCCACGCTGGTTTTTTTCACGATTTACTTGGGAATTGCGTTATCGCTCGAGACTTCCTCGCGATTCATGCAGAACCCACGCTTCAGCAACCTGCCTGCTCGACCTCGTCGCTTGGGCCCGCCTTCCCGACCTGCCCGCTATGGGTCTGCCCACCCGATCTGCCCGTTTGGTTCTACCACTTGTTTTCTGCTCCTTGCTCCCCTTCTGCTAATTTGTCTCGTGCTCCATCCTTCTCACTCCCCCCTTCACCCGTCCTTTCTTCCCTTGTTTAAGGGGCTGCATTAAATACACGTGGCAGGTTCGGAAAATGTACCCCCAAGGGGGTACGAACGAAGACGACGAGGGCGGGTACCGAGGGTTTGGGATATACGTAGTGATTGGCACGTGAGCAGATAGGAGCGAACAATATTAAAGTGATTGTTGTTGTTGTTGTTGTTGTTGTTGTTGTTGTTGTTGTTGTTGTTGTTGTCGTCGTCGTCGTCGTCGTCGTCGTCGTCGTTGTTGTTGTTGTTGTTGTTGTTGTTGTTGTTGTTGTTGTTGTTGTTGTTGTTGTTTGTGTCGTGTCGTTGTCGTTGTGTCGTTGTCGTTGTAGTTGTTGTTGTTGTTGTTGTCGTCGTCGTCGTCGTCGTCGTCGTCGTCGTCGTTGTTGTTGTTGTTGTTGTTGTTGTTGTTGCTGTTGTTGTTGTTGCTGTTGTTGTCGATTGACACGTGACCTTGTTGCCCGGCCCCCCCAGCAACCAATAACCAGCAATCGAAGGTTAATTTCAGCACGCCTTTCTCGAGGATCGTGGCCTTGGCCTCACAGGGAGCTTCATCGAAGCTGCATTTCGGCACACCCCTCTCGAGGACCGTGGCCCTGGCCCCACAGGGAGCTCCACCGAAGCTTCATTTCGGCACACCCCTCTCGAGGATCGTGGCCCTGGCCCTACAGGGGGCTCCACCGAATAGTCATTTCGGCGCACCCCTCTCGAGGATCGTGGCCTTGGCCCTACAGGGAGTTCCACCGAAGGTTCATTTCAGCACACCCCTCTCGAGTATCGCGGCCCTGGCCGCACAGGGAGCTCCACCGAAGGTTCATTTCGGCACCCCCCTCTTGAGGATCGTGGCTCTGGCGTCACAGAGGGGTCCTCCGAAGTTTCATTTCGGCACAACCCTCTAGGAGAATCGTGGCCCTGTCCCTACATGGGGGCTCTACCGAATCGCCATTTCAGCACACCCCTCTCGAGGATCGTGGCCTTGCACCGAAGGTTCATTTCGGCACACCTCTCTCGAGGATCGCGGACCAGGCCGCACAGGGAGCGCCACAAAAGGTTCATTTCGGCACACCCCTCCTGAGGATCGTGGCCCTGGCCGCACGGGGAGCTCCACACCCCTCTCGAGGATCTTGGCCCTGGCCCCACAGGGAGCGCCATCAAAGTTTCATGTCAGTACACCCCTCTCGAGGATCGTGGCCTTGGCTTCACAGGGAGCTCCACCGAAGATTTATTTCGGCACACCCCTCTCAAGGATCGTGGCCCTGGCCCAACAGGGAGCCCCACCGACGCTTCATTTCGGCACGCCCCTCTCGAGGATCGTGGCTTTGGCCCTACAGGGAGCTCCACCGAAGCTTCATTTCGGCGCACTCTCGAGGACCGTGGCCCTGGCCCCCCAGGGAGCCCCACCGAAGCTTCATTTCGGTACACCCTTCTCGATCATCTTGGCCCTGGCGACAGTGGGGGCTCCACACAAAGCCCTCGAGGATCGCATGGGGTTCCTGTACAGTCCCTATCGGGTCCCTACATGATCCTATAGGATCGCATGGGATTCCTATAGAATCTTTGTACGATTTCCATCGGATCGTATAGGATCGCATGGGGTTCTTGTAAAACCCTGGTGCTGTAGACGATTCCGATAGGATCCGACTGGGTCGCATGGGTTTCCTATACACTCCCTATACGATTCCTTTCGGATCCTGCACGGTTCCTATTATATCCTAAAGGATAGCATGGGATTCCTATATAACCACCCTCAGGATTCCTATAGGATCCTATCGGACCGCATGGGATTACTTTACGATCCCTATGCGATTTCCATCGGATCGTATAGGAACGCATGCTATTCCTATACAATCTTATGCGATTCGAATAGGGTCCTAAAGGATCGCATGGGATTTCTGTACAATGTCAATACGATTCGTATATGCTCCTACAGGATCGCATGGGATTTCCATACGATCCCTATACGATTCCCATAGTATCTTATAGGATCGCATGGGATTTCGATACAATCCCTACACGATTCCTTTTGGACCTGACAGGGTCGTATGGGATTTCTATAGAATTCCCACAGGATCCCTGTAGGGTCCCTATCTGATCTTATAGGGTCGCATACGATCCCTATAGGATCCTTATAGGATCCGATAGGATCGCACGGAATTTCTATAGAATCCTCATTGGATTCCTTTCGGATCCTATAGGATCGCATGGGATTAGTATACAATCCCTATACGATTTCCATAGGATCCGACAGGGTCGCATGGGATTCCCATACAGTCCACATACGTTCTATAGGATCCTACAGGATCGCATGGGATCCCTATGGGATCCCATACGATCCCTGTAGGGTCCCTACAGGATCCTACAGGATCGCATAGGATTCCTGCACAATCCCGATCGGATTTCTATCGGATCCTATAGGATCTCTCTCGGATCCCGATCGGATCCCGATAGGATTCCTATATGATGTTATAGGGCACATAGGAGCCGATAGATTCCGGAGCTTCGCTGGTGCAGACATGGAAACATGGCATAAAAGGATGAGTTCGCACCCTTAAGCAAGCGAGGTTACAGCGGAGCGAGGAATGGAGCCCGAGGTTGTTGCCTGCTGGTTGCTAGGGGGGGGGTTGCTTACCCCCAGGCAGCAAGGTCACGGGTTGTCCTTTAAGGACAAGCGTTGACCAAGTTTCACGGTGAACGGGCAACATGAGCACGTGTCAACCTTCTTGTTGTTGATGCTGTTTTTTCCCCAACCATCCTGTTGTGGTCGGTCCTCGTTTTGAAGATACAGCTCCCCGTGTCCTCTTCCTCCTCCTCATCCTCATCCTCGCTCCTCCCTTCTCCTCCCATACCTGCGTCTGCTTTCCACGCGCGCATGTCGGCAACCCCCTCACACATATCCGGTCGCCATAGGGAGTTCCACCGAAGGCCCCAGCAGCAGCGTCCGCGTCGCGCACCCGCACCCAGTTCGGCACACCCCTTTCACGTGTCATGGCCCCATGGGAAACGCGACGAAAGGCCCCAGTGGCAGCGTCCGCATGGCGTATTCGCGCCCGATTCGGTACACCTCTCTTGCGTTTCGTGGCCTCATAGGGAGCTCCACTGAATGCCTCAACGGCAGCGACCGCATGGCGTACCCGCGCCCGATCCGGCAGACCCCTCACATGTTTCGTGGCCTCATAGGGAGCCCCACCGAAGGCCCCAGCGGCAGCAACCGCATGGCGTACCCGCGCCCGCTTCGGTTCACCCCTCACACGTTTCGTTGCCTCATAAGGAATTCCGCCGAAGTCCCCAGCGGCAGCGTCCGCATGGCGTACCTGCACCCAATCTGGCACACCCTTCACACGTTTCGTTGCCCCATAAGGGGAGCTCCACGAAAAGCTCCAGCGGCAGTGTCCGCATGGCGCACCCGCACCCGATTCGGCACACCCCTTATACGTTTTGTTGCCCCATGGGGAGTTCCACCGATGGCCCCAGCGGTAGCGTCCGCATGGCACTGCCGCGCCTATTGCAGCACCCCTCTCACGTTTCGCGGCCTCATGCGGAGTTCCACCCAATGCCCCCAGCGGCAACATCCGCACGGCAGCGCCGCGCCCATTTCGGCAGACCCCTCTCACGTTTCGCGGCACCGCAGGGAGCTCCACCAAAAGGTCCTGGTGGGAGGGCCCGCGTGGCGCTGCCAGACCCATTTCGGCACACCCCTCACGCGTTTCGTGGCTCCACAGGGAGCTCCACCGAAGACGATATTCATAACCGCGGTATTGACAACTGCGCATGGTGGGGCACTTCGTCAGGATAATGTGAATTTCAGTTCTGGCACTCTGTGTGAGCGCGTCGGAACATGTCGGGATAGCCTTTAGCAAGTTTTTTTGTTATATATATATATATATATATATGTGTATGTATATATGTATAGTCATCTGACGGTGGATGGTGTGCACCGGGGTGTTTAGCTATGTCGTTGTAGCTTTTCCATTGCTGACTGGTCTGCGGTTTGGCGTGTGTGTTTGTGTGTGGTGCCAGCGGTGGGCTTCAGAATGGCTTCGTCACCAGTTGTCGTGCCTCCGTCGGGTTCTTTGCATATAGTGTTCGTCGATCGTAAACAACATGCGATATGAGCAGTACGTTCGTCTGTGTCATGCCCCGAAACATTTTCTTGGCGCAGTATCATTTCAGGGATTGTGGGCGTGTCCGATCCATCGTGGTGCTTCCCTCGTCCCAACGCAGCCGTCCGCCCAGGGGCAAAGTTTGCCCCGCCCCTCCCACGCATGTTCGAAGATTTCCCTCCCTTCAGCCAGAGAGCCGCGCCGGCGCGCTGCGGCGGTCCCAGGCCTCCGTTGGGTGGTGCTTGCCGCGGTGGGGTGCTGCACGGGCCTCGTGGCGGTGGGCGTGGACACGGGCGTGAGCCTCGCTTTCGGCGCGAGGGACCAGCTGGTGCACGGCGTGGCAGGAGGTGTGCCGCTGGAGGGCAGACGCACCCTCCCTCATGGCTTTCGTTTGGGGATCGCCGACACTCCTGCGAATGCATGTGTGTATCCAGCCCTCCATCATGTCTTCTTTCGTATCGATCTCATGCTCTGCGACTCTCATCTCCGTTGCGTAGTCCTTCGTTTTTGCTCGTTTGTTACCCTCTGCCATTCCTTTTCGTTTGCGATGGGCACGCAGAGCTCTGAAGGCAAAAACAAGCACGTACCGTGTTAGTCAATTATTATACTTGCGGGGTGGTTTCACGGCTGGTTTCGCCGACATTGCAAGGCAAGCAGCAAGGGCGCAAGAAGCGGAAGGGCGCGCGGTAGCAAGGGCAACGGGAGGAGGGGTTTGATCGCGTAGCAAGGGTGCGGCGCGGCAGGAAGGAGAAGGCGGAACGGGGACATGACGAAGTGGTTGCACGTCCGAGCGGGCAGATGTCGGGAAGATCAGTTCAGATCAGCAGCGCAGCATACGTGGCACAGATCGGTGGGCGGAAAGAAACAGAAAGGCGAAGGACCCAAACATATGCAGTTGTGGGTACCGCGTTGTGGGTACCGCTTTCGGTGGAGCTCCTTATGAAGCCACGAAGCGTGCTAATGGTGTGCCGTAATGGGTGGAACTTATGGGGCCGTGGCCATAGGAGTCTTCGGTGGAGATCCCTATGGGGCCACGGAGCGCTGTACTGGGTGGGGGAGATGCACGCGGCCGTGGCCACTGGAGTCTTCGGTGGCGCTCCCTTTCGGGGGCGTGGAACAACGCCTGCGGCCGCGGCCACTGGGCTCTTCGGTGGGGCTCCCTTCGGGGCCACGCAGCGTTATACTGGGCGTGCAACACGCATGCGGCCGCGGCCACTGGTGTCCTCGCTGGAGCTTCCTAAGGGGGCCACGAAGCGATGCACTGGGCGGGGGAAACGCGTGCGAGCGTTGCCTCTTGGTCCTTCGGTGGAGCTCCCTGCGGGGCCACGGAGCGCTGTACTCGGTTGGGGCAGCGCATGCGCGCGTCGACCCAGGGCCCTTCGTTGGAGCTCCCAATGGGGCCACGAAGCGCTGTATTGGGCGGGAGAAACGCCTGCGAACGCCGCCTCCGGGACCTCTCAGTGGAGCTCCTCGGGGGCCACGAAGCGCTGCACTGGGTAAAGGAGACGCATGTGAGCGTCGCCTCTGAAGCCTTCGATGAAATTCCTCTGGGGCCACGAAGCGGTGTATTGGGTTGGGGATCCGCATGCGAACACCGCCACTGGGGCCTTCGGTGGATCTCCCCGTGGGGCCACGAAACGTGTGAGAGGTGTGCCGAATCCGGTGTGGGGACGCATGCGAACACCGCCACTGGGACCCCGGTGGAGCCACGAAACGTGTGAGGGATGTGCCAGGATGAAAAAATGATAATCTGATGAAGAGGGCAGGGGCACGCAGGGGAGGAGGGAGGAGGCGGAGGAGAGGAGGAGGAGGAACATGGGGCGCTGTCTCTCCAAAGCGAGGACCCCGAACACCACCGGATGGTTGGGAACAGTAAGACGAAGAAAATTGGATATGAACAGCACGCTCTCAATTATGAAAAGACATTATCCTGGCGAAGGACCCAACCACATGCAGTTGTGGGTACCGTCGTTGCGGGTATCGCCTTCGGGGGATCACCTCATGGGGCCATGAAGCATGCGAATGGCGTGCCGATATGGAGCGGGGCCGCCACGTGGGCGCTGCCGGGCCGTCGCGCGGGCGCTGCCACCTGGGTCTCAGGTGAGCTCCTTCTTGGGCCACGAAACGCGGTACGCGGACCCTTGCGCTTCGGCTCCGGGGGAGCTCCCAATGTGGCCGCGAGGCGTGCGAATGGTACCATCCTCGTCCTCATCCTCATCGTCATCATCATGATCATCTTCATCATCATCACCATGATCATCACCATCATCACCATCATCACCATCACCATCACCATACCATCACCATCACCATCACCATCACCAGCACCAGCACCAGCACCATCACCATCACAATCACCATCACCATCACCATCACCATCATCACCATCACCATCATCATCATCATCATCACCATCATCATCGTTATCACCATCAACATTATCATCATTACCATCATTACCATTATCATCATCACCTATATCACCATCATCTCCACTGTCATCATCATCGTCGTCATCATCATGATCATTATGATGATTATGATGATGATTACCCTCATCATCAACCTCATCATCATCACCGCCATCATCATCATCATCATCATCATCATCGTCATCGTCATCGTCATCGTCATCGTCAGCATCACCATCATCAGCATCCTCAACGTTATTATCACCATCATCATAGCTGTCATCATTACCGTCGTCATCATCATCATCAGCATCATCGTAATCACCAACAACAGCATCAGCATCATTATCGTCATTGCCGCCACCGTCATCATCACCATCATCATCAGCACCATCATCATCATCATCATCATCATCATCATCATCATCATCACCATCATCATCATCACCATCATCATCATTATCATCATCGCCACCATCATCATCATCATCATCATCATCATCATCATCATCATCATCATCATCATCATCATCATCATCATCATTATCAACCGACATCGTGGCCGTATCATCAACATCATGGCGGTCACCGTCCATCATAATGCACCTTGCCTTGAGGACTTCGGTGGAGCTCCCCATGGAACCACGAATCGCGACAGGGGTGTGCCATGATGGGCGGGGAAGGCGCATGCGGGCACCGCCATTTGGGCCTTCGGTGGAGCCCCTCATGTTGTCACGAAGCGATGTATTGTGTGAGGAGACGCGCACGCGGCCTGCGGCGACTGGGACCTTCGGTGGAGCTTCCTATCGGGCCACGAAGCGCTATGCTGGGTGGGGGAGACGCATGCGAACATTGCCACTGGGGCTTTCGGTGGAGATCCCGATGTGACCACGATCTGTTGTATTGGGTGGGGGAGACGCATGCGAACACCGCCACTGGGGCCTTCGAGGGAGATCCCTATGGAGCCACGAAGCGCTGTACTGAGTGGGGGGACGCATGCGAGCACCGCCACTGTGGCCTTCGGTGGAACCTCCCATGGGGTCACGAGACGCTGTACTGGGTGGGGGAGACGCATGCGAACACCGCCACTGGGGCCTTCGGTGAAGCTCGCTATGGGGCAGCGCAGCGCGGGCTATGTGGGCAGACGCATGCGAATACCGCCACTGAGGCCTTCGGTGGAGCTCCCGATCACGAAGCGCTGTACTGAGCGGGGGAGACGCATGGAAACACCGCCACTGGGGCCTTCGGTGGAGCTCCCTATGTGGCCACGAAGCGCTGCCCGGGGTGTGGGAGACGCATGCAAACACCGTCATTGGGACCTTCGGTGGAGCTTCCTATCGGGCCACGCAGCGCTGTGCTGGGTGGGGGAGACGCATGCGAACATTGCCACTGGGGCTTTGGGTGGAGCTCCCGATGTGACCACGATCTGTTGTATTGGGTGGAGGAGACGCATGGAAACACCGCCACTGGGGCCTTCGGTGGAGCTCCCTATGTGGCCACGAAGCGTTGTATTGAGTGGGGGAGACGCATGCGAAGACAGCTCCTGGGGCTTCGGTGGAGCTCCCTATGGGGCCACGGAATGTTGTATTGGGTGGGGTGGGGGGGGAGACGCATGCGAACACCGCCATCGGGGCCTTTGGTGGAGCTCCCTATCGGGCCACGAAGCGCAGCACGGGATGGGGGTGACGCATGCGAACACCGCCACTAGGACCATCGTGAAGCTCCCTATGGGGCCACGAAGCGCTGTACTGAGGAAACGCTTGCGAACAATGCCGCTGGGGCCTTCGGTAAAACTTCCAAACTCCCCATGGGGGGCGCGAAACCACGACGACGATGATGATGAAGACGACGACGATGATGACGACGATGCTGCTGCTGGTGGTGCTGCTCCTGCTGACGATGATGACGGTGCGGATGACGGCGATGATGATGACGATGAGGATGATAAGGATGATGCTGATGATGCTGCTGCTGATGATGACGACGACGATGATGATGATGATGATGATGATGATGATGATGATGATGTGATGATGCTGATGCCGATGCTGCTGATGATGCTGACGATGCAGATGATGCTGATGATGGCGACGATGATGATGATGACGATGATGATGACGATGTCTCTATTGTTGATGATGCTGATGCTGATGCTGATGCTGCCGCTGATGCTGATGATGATTCTTGTGATGCTGCTGTTGATGATGATGATGCTGATGATGATGCTGGTGCGGCTGATGATGATCACGATTATGATGATGATGATGATGATGACGATGATGATGATGACGATGAGGATGATGATGATGCTGATGATGATGCTGACAATGATGATGATGCTGATGATGATGATGCTGATGATGATGATGCTGATGATGATTATGATGATGATGATGATTATGATGATGATGATGATGATGATGATGATGATGATGATGATGATGATGATGATGATGATGATGATGATGATGATGATGATACCGAGTACGATAATGACGGTGATGCCGCTGCTGCATCTGATGCTGCTGCTGCTGTTGATGATGATCTAATGATGCATGCTGCTGCTGCTGATGATGCTGCCGCTGATGATGACGACGCTGATGATGAGGATGACGATGCTGATGATGCTGTTATTGCTGCTGATGGTGATGATGACTATGATTACGATGATGATTCTGATGATGGTGTTGGTAATGGTGACGGCGATGAGGGAGACGGAGGAGCCACCCGCTAGCCGCTGTGTGACTACTCGCGGGGTGTTTTGCACACGTTGGAGGCGGATGCGGCGAGGAGTTCACGGGCAAATGTGCTCTTCAGCGCAGCGTCGTGTGGTTCGGTCGCGGGGAGCATTCGATGCCCTCTTCACGGCTTCTTTCGGCGAGGTGGCGTAGTGCTGCAGTACATGGCTTATGCGGCAGCTGTCGCACGCTCCGTCGAGGCTGCGAGACGACGTCCAGAGGTCCTGGCGAGACATCCCGTAGCCCAAACTGAACCTGGTGGGATGGGACATTTTGGTCTGGTGTCATCAAGTGGGGCCACGTTCTGAGGGAGGGGGAGCGTGAGAGGAAGACGAACGAAAGACCCGATGAGCAGAAGGAGGATAAGGAGGACAAGGAGGAGGAGGAGGACGAGTAGGAGGAGGAGGAGAAGGATGAGGAGACGGAGGAGGAGGAGGAGAAGGAGGAGGAAGAGGTCGAGAAAGGGGATGGAGGACGACAAGTGGAGAAGGAGGAAACATAAGATGATGATGATGAGGAGGATGCAACAGGAAGGGGGTAGGGATTAGTAGGTAGTTGCGAACGCAGATTTTCGACCCTCGTCTGTATTCTATTTTCCACTTGCATTCTGCGTGTCGTCTGCCAGTCGTCTGTACGCTGTCCGTGATACCTGCATGTTACCTGTATGCAAAATGAGAGCAATTCCCATGCTACCCGCATTTGTGTGCACGCTACGTTCATGCTACCCGCCTCGATATCCGCATGCTTTATGCATGCTATCTGGCTTTGGGCCGAGCCAGGGGGGAGGGCTCTCCTTCTCCTTCCTCTCTATAGCTCCTTTATCCTCCCTCCTCCTCCTCCTCCTCCTCCTCCCTCCTCCTCCTCCCTCCTCCTCCTCCTCTCCTCCTCCTCCTCTGCCTCCTCCTCCTCCTCCTCCTCCTCCCTCCTCCTCAAGGAGAACCCCTTTGGGCACGCTCGACCTTCTCCTCTTCCTCCTCTTCGTCCCCGATCTTGTTCTCTCTCTCCCCGTCCGCCTCCTCCTCCTCCTCCCTTCTCCTCCTCCTCCTCCTCTTCCTCCCTCCTCCTCTCCTCCTCCTCCTCCTCCTCCTCCTCCTCCTCCTCCTCCTCCTCCTCCTCCTCCTCCCCCTCCTCCTTCTCCTCTCTCCCGGGCTGCCGTTTTGGTTGAAGCTGCACTCTCCCAGTTGCTGCCCAGTGTGGGCACTTCCGAGGACAGCCGAGCCGTGCCGAGCCTCATGGAAGCTCGAAGCCGACTGCTGGTCTGTCACGCTGTGATTGGAGCGATTGGTTGCCCTGGACAATCGCCCAGGGCAGTTCGCGAGCTAACCATGTAGCTGTAAGGTAGGCTGAAGAGCAAGAGGGGAACGGCGAATGCGGCTTACACCTCCCTTCTCGTGTTCCCACCTCCTCCTCCTCCCCTCTTCCTCCTCCCCTCCCTCCTCCCCCCCTCTCCCTCCCTCCTCCCCCCCGCGCCCCTCGCTCAACCCCCGACCCAAAAGGGTCAGAGGGTGACTTCTTGTCACTCGCATGGCGCAGATCCCTGCTGCATTAGGTCTTGGGAGGCCTCGGGGCCTCGCTCGCTCGTCTTGCGATGTCCGACTCCGTCGTTTAGCAGAATTCGCCCGCAGCCTACCCTCGCTCACTCGCGAGAGGGCACGCCGGGCCCCTGGGCACGAGCGCCCGCGCAGGGCAGGCCAAGACTCAGAGCCTCGAACCATCAGGGTTGGGCGTGGTCAGGGGCAGCTAGCCTCTGGGGCTCAAGCCAGAGATGCCCTGGACCGGAGTTGCCCTGGATCACTCGGGCGTCGAGCCGTTCCCGAATCATCGGGGCTGGGGCTGGTCGAGCTTCCTGCTCCTCTTCCTCCTCCTCCTCCTCCTGCTCCTCCTCCTCCTCCTCCTCCTCCTCCTTCTCCTCTCTCTGTGGCCGCCCTCTGCCATACATCATCGGGCAAGTCCGGCTTCCTGTCTCCAGGGCTCGAGCCGGAGCTGCCCAGGACCGGAGTTATCCTGGACTGTCCGGGCATCCACAAGAGCACACCTGGCCGGGGCGGAGGCGGGGCCCTCGGCGGGGGCCTCCCTCGGCGGGCGTGGCCTCGTGCCTGGCGCTGGCGTCCGTGGCGGGCGTGCTGGTCTGCTTCGTGGAGCCCCAGGCCGCGGGGAGCGGCATCCCGGAGGCCAGCGGTGCCCGCCCCCCCTTTCGGGGGCGTCTCGGGGAGGGGGGTTGGGTCTAGGCCTCCTAGACGGGGTCGGAGTAGATGGGGTCGGAGGATGGCGCCGCATCGCCGATGCATCGGCGATGCGGCTCGATGTGGAGCCCGATTTCTCCACGTCGACGGCGCCGATAAATCGCCGGTGCATCGCCGATGCATCGCCGATGCATCGTCGATGCATCGCCGATGTATCGGCGATGCGGCGCGATCCTCCGACCCCATCTACTCCGACCCCACCTAGGAGGCCTGTTTTGGGGCAGTCTCGCCGTCGAGGGGAGAGGGCAGGGCGTTGGCAGGGCTGGGTTTCGTGGGACTGAGTTTGGCCGCGTGTACCGGGGGACGCCCCCCCCCCAAACTGGAGCCGTCGCCTCCCGGAAAAACATCAGCTGCGGCAGACCTGGCTCAGCGATTCCGCTTCGTTTTCTGGGCTTCGGGGCCCAGTCACTAAACGGCTCCCCTTGCCCAGGGTCCTGGCTACATCCGAGAGGGGGGAGGAGTTGTGTCGTCGAGTGGAGAGGATGGGGAAGCCGGCGGTGTCCCGGCCTCGAGTCTATAAACTTTCGGAGCTCCGCGCAGATTTCTTGGATTTGCGCTGGCCCCCCCCCCGCCCCCCCAGCGGCGCCTCCAGCACCGCCCCTGCCGCGCTCCGCGCGCCAGGGAGGGGGGTCCAGCGCCGATGGATCGAAGAAATCTGCGCGGAGCTCCAAGAGTTGATCGTGTGCAGTTTGTATGCAGGTTTTTCTGCCTCCAGCCCCCCTTGGCGATGGGAAGGGCAGCAGAGCAGACCCACGGACAGTCAATGCCCAGCTTTGGCCTAAAGGGGGACCCGAGGGGCTCAGACAGGGCCAGCATCCTCTCCTGGCCAACTTGAACTTATGGGATGTCGAGAGGACGTGTATTGGGTACGGCCACGAGGGGGATGATGACCCGGGGGGTGGACAGCATAGCTAGGGCCATGAGTTCTCCTCGGATCTCGTGGGCCCCTCGTCTTGTTGCAATGCGTACACTTGTTTCCCCCTCGTTCGCGCACATGCCTCGGGCTATAATTTGCGAGCCACTCTCCAGGACGCCCCCCTGTTGGACGCCCCTGGATTTTCGGGGGGCGTTGAAGAGGGGGTTGGGGGCGGCCTCTCGTCGTGGAAGAGGGAGGGGGGGAGGAGGTTTCCATGGCAGCAGTTGTGCCTTGTCCAGAGCTTTCCGGAGTTGCCCAGATCATCCCCAACGTCCGCCAGAGGGCCAAGTTATGACCCGAAAGCTGCCAGGAGTCGAGACGGGGGGTACAGATTACGGTCAGGAGCCTTGGCTAAGGGCGTGTCTGCGTTCAGATCGTGACAGGTTGGCCTGCGTGTTTTGATTCCTGCCCCCTCTTGCCGACTCTTCATCCAGTACTTGGCCGTGAAGGCTTGCTAGTGTTTGGCCACAGTTTATCGCATGAGCTTGCTTGTGACAGGTCGGCGTAGCGTTTTTCGTTGACTGGCGATCGTCTTTTTCACGCTACCGTGCTAGTCAAACCGTGGTGAGGGTCAGTGGTCATGCGCTCTGTTTTTTCTCCCCTTCTGGAGAGGACACCAATAAGAAGGCGTACTAGCTTTTCCCCCAGGGCGAGGATGATGATTAGGAGGAGGCGGAGGGGCCAGGAGGGGTATGATGATGCTGCTGCTGATGATGACGATGACGACGATGACGATGACAATGACGAGTGCGACGACGATTACGATGACGATGATGAGGATTACGATGATGGTGATGATGATGATGATGCTGATGATGCTGCTGCTGCTGATGATGATGATGATGATGATGATGATGTTGATAATGATGATGATTATGATTATGATGATGATAATGATGATGATGACGATGATGATGATGATGATGATCATGATGATGGTGGTGGTGGTGATGATGATGATGATGGTGATGGTGGTGGTGGTGATGATGATGGTGGTGGTGCTGCTGCTTATGATGGTGATGATGATGATTATGCTGCTGCTGCTGCTGATGCTGATGCTGATGCTGATGATGATGATGATGATGATGATGATGATGATGATGATGCTGATGATGCTGCTGATGATGATGATGCTGCTGACGATGATAATGATAATGATGATGATAATGATAATGCTGCTGCTGCTGATGATTCTGATTCTGATTACGATGATGATGAGGATGCTGATGATTCTGATGATGCTGTTAATGCTGCCTGGTACACCACGCTCGATGTTTAAGAAAACACAGTTTTGCAGCCAGAGTCTCGAAATTTCTTGTCCTAGACACACGGCTGAAGAAAACACCGGCGCTGGCCAGACCCTGGGGAAATTTCTTAAGCTTGATGCTTTCTTGGGGTCGTGTGGGCGCCCACTTGGGCCCCACTTGGATTCGGCTCGGGCCCCACTTGGGTTGGACTCGGGCCCCACTTGGATTCGGCTCGGGCCCCACTTGGGCCCCACTTGGATTCGGCTCGGGCCCCACTTGGAGGGGGCTCGGGCCCCACTTGGATTCGGCTCGGGCCCCAGTTGGAGGGGGCTCGGGCCCCACTTGGGCCCCACTTGGATTCGGCTCGGGCCCCACTTGGGCCCCACTTGGATTCGGCTCGGGCCCCACTTGGAGGGGGCTCGGGCCCCACTTGGGCCCCACTTGGATTCGGCTCGGGCCCCACTTGGGCCCCACTTGGATTCGGCTCGGGCCCCACTTGGAGGGGGCTCGGGCCCCACTTGGATCGCTCGGGCCCCACGGGCCCCACTTTGGATTCGGCTCGGCCCCCACTTTGGGCCCCACTCGGCTCGGCACCTCGGCTTGGGCCCCACTTTCGGCTCTTGCTCGGGGGGGGCCCCGGGGCTCGGGCCCCCGGGGGCTTGGGCCCCACTTGGATTCGGCTCGGGCCCCACTTGGGGGGCTCGGGCCCCACTTGGGCCCCACTTGGATTCGGCTCGGGCCCCACTTGGGCCCCACTTGGATGGCCCCACTTGGAGGGGGCTCGGGCCCCACTTGGAGAGGGCTGGGCCCCACTTGGGCCCCACTTGGATTCGGCTCGGGCCCACTTGGACTTGGGCCCCACTTGGATTCGGCTCGGGCCCCACTTGGGTTGGGCTCGGGCCCCACTTGGGCCCCACTTACTTGGATTCGGCTCGGGCCCCACTTGGGCCCCACTTGGACTTGGGTTGGGGCCCCACGGGCCCCACTTGGATTCGGGCTCGGGCCCCACTTGGAGGGGGCTCGGGCCCCACTTGGGCCCCACTTGGATCCGGCTCGGGCCCCACTTGGATTGGGCTCGGGCCCCGCTTGGGCCCCACTTGGATTTGGCTCGGGCCCCACTTGGGTTGAGTTCGGACCCCACTTGGGCCCCACTTAGCTTCGGCTCGGGCCCCACTCGTGTTGGGCTCGGGCCCCACTTGGATTCGGCTCGGGCCCCACCTGGGTTGGACTCGGGCCCCACTTGGGCCCCACTTGGATTCGGCTCGGGCCTCACTGGGCTCGGGCCCCACTTGGATTCGGCTCGGCCCCGGCTCGGGATTGGGGGACTGGCCCCCATCCGGCTTGGGCCCCACTTGGATGGGCCCCACGGCTCGGGCCCCACTTGGGCCCCACTTTGGGCTCGGCTTGGGCCCACTTGGGCTCGGGCCCACTTGGCCCCACTTGGATTCTTGGGTTGGGCTCGGGCCCCACTTGGGCCCCACTTGGATCCGGCTCGGGCCCCACTTGGGCCCCACTTGGATTCGGCTCGGGCCCCACTTGGGTTGGGTTCGGACCCCACTTGGACCCCACTTAGCTTCGGCTCGGGCCCCACTCGTGTTGGGCTCGGGCCCAACTTGGATTCGGCTCGGGCCCCACTTGGGTTGGGCTCGGGCCCCACTTGGGCCCCACTTAGATTCGGCTCGGGCCTCACTTGGGTTGGGCTCGGGCCCCACTTGGATTCGGCTCGGGCCCCACTTGGAGGGGGCTCGGGCCCCACTTGGGCCCCACTTGGATCCGGCTCGGGCCCCACTTGGATTGGGCTCGGGCCCCGCTTGGGCCCCACTTGGATTTGGCTCGGGCCCCACTTGGGTTGAGTTCGGACCCCACTTGGGCCCCACTTAGCTTCGGCTCGGGCCCCACTCGTGTTGGGCTCGGGCCCCACTTGGATTCGGCTCGGGCCCCACCTGGGTTGGACTCGGGCCCCACTTGGGCCCCACTTGGATTCGGCTCGGGCCTCACTTGGGTTGGGCTCGGGCCCCACTTGGATTCGGCTCGGGCCCCACTTGGAGGGGGCTCGGGCCCCACTTGGGCCCCACTTGGATCCGGCTCGGGCCCCACTTGGGCCCCACTTGGATCCGGCTCGGGCCCCACTTGGGCCCCACTTGGATCCGGCTCAGGCCCCACTTGGAGGGGGCTCGGGCCCCACTTGGGCCCCACTTGGATTCGGCTCGGGCCCCACTTGGGCCCCACTTGGATTCGGCTCGGGCCCCACTTGGAGGGGGCTCGGGCCCCACCTGGGCCCCACTTGGGTTGGGCTCGGGCCCCACTTGGGCCCCACTTGGATTCGGCTTGGGCCCCACTTGGAGGGGGCTCGGGTCCCACTTGGATTCGGCTCGGGCCCCACTTGGGTTGGGCTCGGGCCCACATTCCTGCACATACCGAGCCCCCGGGCCAGACCCTCGACATTTCTTAATGATAGTTAAGAAACCTGCCGGCGCGAGACCATGAATTTCTCAACCCATGATTTCTTAACCATTTCGCGTGGTGTACCGTGGCCGAGAGAGTGGTCGCGCCAGGGCCGCCGCTGTTGCGCGGCGGGTGCCGCGGGTGAATCCTTGTTTTCCGCTGTTGGTGGGGCCCCCGTCCGTCCAGAAGGTCGCGGGCTAATGCTGCTGCTGATGATGATGATGATGATGCTGATGATGATGTCGACGACGACGACGAGGATGATGATGCTGATGCTGATGCTGATTATGATTATGATGATGCTGCTGCTGCTGAGGATGGTGATGATGCAGATGATGATGATGATGATGATGATGATGATGATGATGATGATGATGATGATGATGATGATGATGATGATGATGATGATGATGATGATGACAATGATGCCGATGACAATGATGATTATGACGATGGATGATGATGCTGATGATGCTCATGATGCTGATAGCGACGAGGAGGAGCATGAGGAGGAGGAGGAGGAGGAGGAGGAGGAGGAGGAGGAGGAGGAGGAGGAGGAGGAGGAGTAGGAGCAGGAGCAGGAGGATGATGAGGATAATGACGTTGGATCGTGGAGTGTTCCAGCTTGCAAGTGCCAGATGTTGGAGGGCTCCGGGAGTCCATCTCCACGAAGCGAGTGAGTGGTATGCCGAAATGGGTGGCGGGGACGCATGCGAACGGCACTATTGTGGCCTCAGGTGGGTCCTCCCTATGGGAGGAGGAGGAGGAGGAGGAGGAGGAGGAGGAGGAGGAGGAGGAGGAGGAGAAGGAAGAGGAGGACGACGAGTCGGGCGCTTCCTGAGGTCAAGTGCCACCTTAACGGCATCGAGATCCCTCACTTGCTGGCCTTGCGCACCTTGTTGGTGAAGGCCTCCCCGTGTCCCCCCCTTCCACGCCCTCCCCCCATCCCCTTCTGTCCCCCTCTGCCCTCGCGTCCTCTCTCCTGCTCCCCGCCTTTCTCCTGCTCCTTTTGCTCTCCTTCCCCCCCTCTCCCCCCAAGGCGGTTTTCGGGTCATATCTCGGGTCTACCGCAGCAGTTCGGGGCGATTCTGACACCCGCGGAAC